TGTAAGTTTCCTCCACAGTACAAGGACTTAGCTGGTAATTCTAAACTGGCTGTAGGTGTGACTGTTAGTCTGTGATGGATTGATGGCCTGTAGTTACTGTGTGACAGGGATGCAAACTCATTTTACATGAAGAGTCACATCACAAGTTACAAGTGACTGAGATATCTATAAGATCTTTAGTGCAGCTTCAACAGCAAATCTCAGTTTTTCTACCTGACAAATTTGAGAAAATATAAAAGAAATGCAGGTGACTGTTGTTGTCTGGTGACCAAGACTGTTCTGTATTGATATTACAAGACATTTTTGTTGATTGATGAAAATGTTTTATTTAGTAGGCAGTGAACACCAGGAATGTTTTTTTTTAATTTAATTGATTATCTGTTATTTAAATACTTTGGAGTAGTATGAATGTCTTTGGTGACGTGTTTATCAGCAGGAAAAGTTGGAAAACAGTTCAAAGTCGAAAGATTTATGTCCTGCTTCACATTTTGCAGATTGGTCACAATAAGGCCTATGCCTGGGCCTTCTGCTTGATGCACCGGTTGACAGCTGGTATAAGCTCCCACTCTCTCTCTGCCTCAAGTCAGATAGAATGGATAAAGAGATCTTCAACCAAATATTTTTAAACTTGTTGCTGGCTTTAAATTGAAAATGGGAAGATATTTCAGAGAGAGACGAGTTCGTGTGATCGTGTTTGTCAGCTGTTTGTGTGGAGTTGTTCTTTATGTTCACCTCAAACCAACCTGAGTGTCATTTCTCTTTAGTTCTGATCTCACTGCTGAGCTGCCCAACAAACCAAGGTCAGTAACCTTCTTCTGTCACAGTTTAAATGTCACGGCGGGGTGCGCCAATGTGAGTGGAAACAGGACCCAAAAGCAGATGATGACGAGTAGTGTAAGTTTGAACAGAAAAGTGATCCTTTATTAGATGATGGCAGGAGTAAACCAGGAAACCAAAGTAAACTGACAAGACACTAAGAAACAAAATACTAAACGGTACTGAGACCAAAACCTAAACTATGACTGTGGTGGAAAAATAACAAGCAAAGACCATAACTAAGACTAATAATACATGACAGCCGAAAACCGTAACTAAGACTGAGGTCAAATAAACAGACGAACCGATAAAGGCAAGCAGAAAACGAAAGGCTTAAATACAGACATGAGGTGATCAGGGGAAATGGCAACACATGGGGGAACAGCTGACAAACTCTAATGACAGGACCAAGAGAGAGTGAAACTAAATACAATGACCAAAGAACACACGACACTGTCAGAATAAAACAGGAAACACTGAAAACTAAACATGACAACACAATAAGACAGACCTAATACATGATGAATGAATACAAAACCCCAAACATAAAAAACCCAGGAACAATAACCAATAACTGCCCAAACTAAAGGCAAAATAGGAAATAACACAAAAACTAATAACATATCAAAAAATGAGAAAAATACAAAGAGAACTCAGAGTGCTGGGTTGGAGACCCAGCCTGTGACATTAAACCTGAGAAACTCTGACAGGTTTTACACATTTGGATTAAAACTTTCAGTAAAGATCTCAGAGACGTGATTATCAGTTTTTCATTTTAACCCTCACAGCTCGTCTGACTGTGAGTCCCAGCAGCTCTCAGTTCTTTGAATATGACTTTGTGACTCTGAGCTGTGAGGAGGACGACAGCTCTGCTGGATGGACTCTGAGGAGAAACGACAGCAAACAACAGAGGACTCAGTGTGGAAGAGATGGGTGGGGAAAACCAGCTGGTTCTTCCTGTAACATCACTGTTTTCCCTCATGAAAGTGGAGTTTACTGGTGTGAGTCCAGAGAGGGTCCCATCAGTAACATGGTTAACCTGACAGTCACTGGTAAGCTGAGTGTGTGGAGTTAGTGTTGATGAAGCTGTGTGTAAATGGATGAAATGCTGTAGTTTGTCTCTGTGTTGAGGTGGATCAGTGATCCTGCAGAGTCCTGTCCTCCCTGTGATGGAGGGAGATGACGTCACTCTGCTCTGTAAAACAAAGACCACTCCCTCCAACCTCCCAGCTGCTTTCTATAAAGATGGCTCCCTCATCAGGAAGCAGCCTACAGGTCACATGACCATCCAGCATGTTTCCAGGTCTGATGAAGGCCTCTACAAGTGTAACATCAGCGGTCATGGAGAGTCTCCATCCAGCTGGATCACTGTCACAGGTGACACACTCACCTGTCTGTGTTTCTGCAGGTTCAACATTCACAATGTGACGACAACTTAATGACTGTGTTTGCTTTATTTTAGACAAACACACCACCGCACCTCCACCTACATCCACACTCCCACCTACATCCACCTCTCCTCCTGGTTCCTCTGTCATACCTGTGCTGTCATCTGTTGGATCAGTCTGTTTTCTGATCCTACTGGTGTTACTGGTTTTGTTGATTAGACAACATGTTCACAGGAAACCTAAAGGTGAGACTCGGATTTAATGAGTTTGAGTTGTTCAATAATCTAGTTATGTATTGTGATTACTCCTTGTTGTTACACATTATAAAACTTTTTTCAGTGCTTTTAAATGAAAGATTATTTTATATTGATTTTCTCTCTTATCTGACTTTTTATTTATTTAAACAGATCAAGCTGTGAAAGAAGAGATCACATACAGTGACATTAGAATAAAACATCATCAACAACAACAACCAATAAAACAAAACAAAGGTAATACTGCTTTGATCAGTGCTGGTGGTTGGTAGTTGCAAGATTGTGTTTTGCCAGACAACTTTGTTTTTCTGAAATTTGAATACTGTAGAGGAACAGTGACATTTTTATATTGTATTTGTAAATATATGAGGACATCATGGGCGACCGTGGCTCAGGGGTTGGGAAGCGTATCTGTAACCGGAAGGTCGCCGGTTCGATCCCCGTACTCTCTGTCCTGGTCGTTGTGTCCTTGGGCAAGACACTTTACCCTACTTGCCTACTGGTCTTGTCCCGATGGCGCGATATGGCAGCCTGGCTTCTGTCAGTCTGTCCCAGGGCAGCTGTGGCTACAACTGTAGCTGCTTCCACCAGGGTGGGAATGTGAGAGTGAGTGAATAGTGGTATTGTAAAGCGCTTTGGGTGCCTTGAAAAGCGCTATATAAATCCAATCCATTATTATTATTATTATCATAAGAACGAAAGAATTAAAAAACCTCAAAAGCTAAGCATATTAGCCAATTATGTTGTTGTTGCATTGATCCATGGTGAGACCTTTCAGACCTGTACTATCAATGTAAACATGTTTGTCATCTTATTTATTAAACTGGGATTTCGGGTATTCATAACTAGCATGGTGTTTATTTAATCACTTTCTATAAAAGATAGAAAGAGGCTTTGTGATGTCCATAGTAGAAAAGTGACCATAATTAGATGAGAGAATGGGGTGCTACGTTATCAACTAATACTGCCTGCCTTTGGTTAACAAACCACATCCACTGACACAGATGTGGTCACGCCTGTGATTGTGCAAAGTAATGTAATATAGTAGTATAATAATGTAATATAGTAAAAGTTTGAAATGTGACTCTATGCATACAGTTTGTCGAGTTAGAAATAACGTCACACTTCTCTCCTCATCTTTAGACAGGAGCTTGATCAACTGATGTATCTGCTGAATGGTCAGATTTGCTTCTAGGTGGATTTTGATGAAACTTTACAGGGCAGATCATTTTTGATAATATAATAATATTTCAGTTTTTGGAAGGAGATATTAATTTTATCCCATTAGCCACACAAATTTTTCATTATTTCCAACTTATTTACTTTATTTACTTTAGAATTTAAACCAATTGAAGGTTTTAATCTTGATTTGTGTTTTTCACTCTGATTAACTAAATTCATAACTTAAAGAGAGGGACTTTATTTCAAACAGTCACACAGCGGTGTGTGACAGATGATCCTTTTAACCCTGTAATGCCACTGTGACACATTCAGCTACGTTTCACCATGTACGTTAATTAACGTACGTTAATTAAGCTCATCTTTGGACAGGTTCAAACTTCTCTGTTGTATTGTGACAAATATGTAACTTGGCTAAATACATTATCAAGTTTATGAGGATAGTTCGTGTGCTTCTCTCATAGTTTAGTCTAAGGTAACTGGACTGCAATCTTTATGTTGCTTTTTAACTTTACCTAACATTCAAAGCACCTTTTTCAAAGCAGGCTGCAGTCATACACACATTTCAACACTCAGACATATGAACCTAAACGGAAAACAAACCATCAACTCTCTGAATAATAGACACCCCACTCTAAATCCTGAGCCAGTAAATCAACAGTACTTTGGGATCCAAGGTGAGAGCTGGATAAATGCTGCGATGCATCAGGGATCCTTGCAGGAGAAAACAAGAAACAAGAACTATTAGTTGTACCAGTAAACCCCACACCCTTCTTACAGGGTGTTGAAAAAACTGGGGTTTTTTCTTCTTGAGTAATTTCAGACTTCTAAATTTAACATAGAAGAACCAACACGTGTCATTCTGCTGAATTCAACTGAGAATCTAATCTAAAGCGTCTCATTAGCACACAGAAGGGTAGCTCTCTTTTACCATGCATGATTTGACACTAAGCTTATCAGAAAGGCAAGAGCAGTTTCAACTTATCTGTTGACATTACTCAACATCCTGAAATATTTATTGTGCTTTGTTGAAAAACTAAGAGATAATAAAGAGATTACAGTATATACAAAGTCTGATACTTCTATCCACCTGTGAAAAATGTAAAGCATTTAAGACTTTACATTTAAGTTTGTATGTTAAAATTTTTGCAATTGATGCTTTTTTATTTATTTTCTTTATCCAAAATCTAATAACTTGATTGTCTTTATCAAATGTGAGTCTTAGTCTTTAAAGTTTGCAGTTGTGTGTTGATTGTTGTTCTTTGCGTGCTGGACTGTGCGTTTGTGGTTGGTGGTTAACAGACACTAACAGTGCTGCAGTCGTCCAACATCCTGTTTCTCATCATCAAGAAAAAGTTTTAACACAGAAGAAAAAGAAGAAAGAACTAAACTAACTTCAGTGTTTGCTTGCATCAGCTTGCATTTTAACTGACTTCACATTTATGTGACATCAATATTTGAAATTACATTTACTTTGGTTTTGTCCTTTATGTATGTGTGACTGTGCAGAAGGTGATCCAGCTGTAATCTACTCAGGAGTGAGAAATGACGACATCAATTATGAACAAATCGTCATCACAGACAAGCAAGAAAAATCAAAGACGAGAGGTACAGCAGCTCTTCTTTGTCTCCATCCTTCACTTCTACAGCCAGACTCTGAGGCTGTGGTTTAGCAGGGTTAAGCTTCACCATGTTAGTCATGCTAGCATCTTCTAATTAGCATAAGGCTGATGAAAATACAATGGATGGATGGTTAACGTTTATTACAGTTTATCGGCTGCACACACAAAATCACACACATGTCACCCACATTCTGGAAAATGCAATCAATAGGATAACTGCATTATGCACAAAATTATAATTAATTAATTCAAACAAGATCATATTTTCATGCAAAATGATTTGTTCTCATAAGATCATCCATCCATCATTTCTTACTACTTATGTAGGTGCAACAGCTTAAACAGCTCTGCTCTGAAGGTCTTCTGGGGAAAAATCACTGCGTTCCCAACCAGCTGAAAGACATGTTCTGAGAAAACGGTCCAGTCAGACTGTGGCTGTATTTGGATTCAAAATGTACAACCCAGGAAATTGCTGAATTCTGTTTAACAAGTTTATTTACAAAACTTAAACAACAACCTCCTGAGACTGGGACCAAACAGGTTGGTGAGACTAATTCAGAGCATAGTGTGAATAATGCAGTTGTGCTCAGTGTTTACTTGGTATTTCTCCACAGAGTGGTGGAGGGTGGTGAGTTAAGCAGGTGAATCTCAGTCCTCTTTCCAATCTAAATTCCAAGGTGAATCACGCAGAAGGTGATTTTAAAATCAGACACTAGTACAATGAAAAAAACAAACAAACAAACAAAGGAGCTACTCCCAGAAGTTGTCTAGTAGTGTTTTGTGGGAGAAACGTTTTGTCACACATCCAGGTGACTCCTTCAGTCTCAGCTGACGGCAGGTTTCCCCAAATCATATAAACAGTGCATTTGCATAATGACTGAAACCAGCCCACTGAAGGAACAATGGGCTGTGAGGTCACTTCCTTAATCTTAATTAATCAATTCAACCACTGATCAATGGCCATGAGTCCCATTCACAGAGAGTTGGGGAATGGCTGCAATCACAGCATTGTAAGATGGTGACAGATGTACCCTTAGGCCCCTCCTCGATTCAGAGATGGTCTTTCCCTTTTCACGTAAATGGCCTCCTTGACTCCGCCCTCAAACCAGCGTTCCTCCCTGTCCAGGATGTTACATCCTCATCATTGAAAGAGTGTCCACTGGCCTGTAGGTGTAAATAGACTGCAGAGTCCTGGCCTGACGAGGTGGCTCTTCTGTGTTGTGCCATCCGCTTCGCCAGAGGTTGTTTGGTTTCCCCGATGTATAAATCCTGGCAATCCTCCTGCACTTAACAGCGTACACTATGTTACTCTGTTTGTGTCGGGGACCCGATCCTTGGGGTGGACCAGTTTTTGGCGCAGCGTGTTTTGGGGTTTAAAACCCACAGAGATGCGGTGTTTAGAAAAAATGTGTCTCAGCTCATCCACTCCTGACACATACAGGATCAGTAAGGATTCAACTGACAACTGCTACTTAGGCAAGGCAAGTTTATTTGTATAGCACAATTCAACAACAAGGTGATTCAAAGTGCTTTACTTAAGGGACCAGTTGTCTTTGCAGCCCGATTCAGAGAGGGAGTGGTAGGAGTGCTGCATTGAATGTCTACACTAATTTCTGTTGGAATTAATAAAGGCTTGCAAAAAGTGTTTTTCTCTGTTTCTGGCAGGACCATGGGTAGGTTCACTTGCTACTAGGCTGCTTGTGGCCTGTTGGCTGCTGTAGATGTTGTGGTGCTGTCTTGATTGACACACCTCTGCAACATAGCCGGGAGGTCTGGATTGTGCCTCTGGATTGCCAGCCTAGAGTGGTGGTTCCCCTTTTTAAGAGAGCAGTCCATAGGGTAGGCTCCAATCACACATTCCTCAGCCTATCTTGGGAGGTCTACACCTGAGTACTGAAGAGGAGTCTTTTAGTTAAACCTTGGATTCAAGATGAACAGTGTGGTTTTTCCCTGGCTGCTAAACACTGGACCAGTTTTTGTCCCCTTGAGAATATCCCAGGGAGCTTCTGCTTAGAGTTTTGTCCCAGTGAGCAACACCTCT